CCAAAATATAACCAAAGAACCAAAATTGAATTGTCAAAAGTATCCAACGACCAAATTAAAAGTTAGAAGAACCTTTGGACCCAAATTTCCAAAAGTTTCCAGCGACCAAAAATTGAATTGAAGAACCTCTGGAGCATAACGACCAAAAATCCAATATATGACGAATTTAAATTAGAAGAACCTTTGTTACGTCCAGTTTTTTGCTCGTTGATCTTACGAAGCACGGTTGTCGAACTATTTGTAATTCATGGTCCCCAAATGTTTAAACCAAGAACGAAACTCCAAAGTAGATACCAAAGTTTATTCCAAATCACAAATTCGACCAAAATGCTGTATTACAAATAGACGACCAATGTCGTTCTAACATCAATAATTATAATAATTACAATTACCTTCTAATTTATTAGCTCTTGGAGCAAAAAACTGCAGACGAACAACAAAGAGAAACGGGAGTCCAAAATGTCCGCAAATAATAATTCAAACGAGTTCACAAGTTAAGTAAAACAAATGTACCCAAAAACAGTGAAATTAATGATATTTATACATGAAGGTTTTGATCGGCAAAATGTCTTCGTTTCTCCCGTAACAGTTGCTGATTTTTGTTTTTTGATCAGATTTGCATTTAAAATTATCTACTTACTTACTTACGCCTAATACTGCCAACAGAACAACAGCCGCTTACCAGCACTCTGTAAACTTCTCTGTCCCCAGCCTTTTTTTAGCTATAGCAATTTCTTGGCTAATGTGTTCCTTGACCTTTTTCTTTTTCGTTACCCTCGAAGGTTTCAGGTGAGTATCTGTTTTGCAGCGCAGTTAAGATCTTTCCTCTTTGTGTGTCATATCCACTTGCGGGGCTTCTTCCCGATTTTTCGCTACGAAGGAAACTGGTTCGTTCTCTCCCACAATAGATCGTTGCTAATAGTGTCTGAGCAGCAAATCGGAAGTAGGTTGCGTAGTCAACTGTTAGTGAAAACTTTTACATTCTGGAAGATATCTTCCATAGTTCTCCAAGTTTCTGCCCCATACAGTAGTACTTTCTTGACATTTGTATTGAAGAATTGTGACTTTCGTGTTCGTTGATAGTTGTTTCTAGTTTCACATTTTATTCAATTATAGATAAGCTGTCTTTGCTCTGCCAACCTGTGCCGTCACATCTGAGTTAGATCCATATTGTTCATCAGTGATGTTGCCCGTATTCGTAAAAGTTTTAAAATATCCATGGCATCTCCATCAAATGTGATTTGGTTGGTGCATGTTTTCTGCATCGCAGAATCTTGCTTTCCCCTTTTTGTATATTGAGAGCTACTGCCGCTAGACCGTTCGTCTTCTCTTGCATTCGTTGCACTTCCCGCCATGTGTTGACATCTTCATAATCCAGTCGATCACCAGGAGAAAGAGAAAGGATGAGAGTAAGCAGCCTCAGTCGAAGCCTCCCTAGTTTTGGCCTATCCACGCTATCGAATCCGTTCTCGCAGTCTATGAAGTTGATGTACAGTGGTGAGTTCCATGCACTGCATCGTTCCATAATGATCCGTAATGTTACAAGTGGGTCGGTACACGACCGATCCTTACGGAATCCAACGTCTAAGAATTCCTTCATTCTGTTTAACATCGCCCTGTTGAAAACTCTGCCTGGTATTGGGAGCAGAGTGATACCTCTGTAGTTCTCACACATGCAGTGAGAGAGTGTGGAATGTTTTTGAAGCTGCTGCCACTTCTGCTCCCGTTGCCTCTATTGGAATGTTGTCTGGTCCTGCTGTTTTGCTGATCTTCATCTCTCTGTTGGCCATACTTATCTCTTCAATTGTCGGTGCGTCAATATTAATTGGGAGGTCCGTGGATGCTGCTTCGATGTTGGGTGGCTTCAGTGGAGCTGGTCAATTAAAGAGTTCCTTAAAGTGCTCTACCTATCTATTTCGCTGTACTTCAGTGTCGTTGATTACTTTGCCTTCCTCGCGTCTTACTGGTCGTTCTGGTTAATTTACAGCGAGCTTCCTTGTTGTAGCATACAATAAGGAGAGACAAATCAATATTGGCTTGCCCGAAGATTGCCTCAAAGAATTACTCCTAAGATGTACGATGAACGTCCATTTCGTATTCAACAACAATTATTACAGACAAATAGACGGTATAGCCATGGGTTCACCTCTTGGCCCAATGCTAGCTGATCTCTTTCTAACAAAGCTAGAAAATGGACCACTAAATGAAACTATTCAGCAACTTGATCTATATTGCCGTTATGTCGATGACACATTCATCATTGTAGATCAGGACATCAGGATAGAAAAACTCTTAGACGAATTCAACAGTGTACACCCGGCAATCACGTCCACTGGTGAAGAAGAATACGATAAGAAACTGAGTTTCCTTGACATCACACTAAGTAGACGTAATGATGGTTCACTAAGTAGAAGCGTATATAGAAAAAATCCCAGTGCTTGCCAATACACCCACTTCTGTAGTTTTACACCTATCCGCTACAAAAGAAATTTGGTTAGATGCCTCACTAACAGAGCAAATATGATTTGTTCAGTGGATACCTTAAGTCAGGAGCTGGAATTCATCAACGACTCACTAACCGAGATTGGTTATCCCAGCGCATTCATAAAGAAGTATATGTCTGCCGTAAAAAAGAAGTCGGTGGTTTCGACCGCCCAAAAGAAACCTTTATTTATAAAGTTACAATTCAACGGGGATGTGGCCTGCGATACTCTGCAGGACAGATTAGTAAGAGTAATTAGTAGAACATTCAACGCTGCCAAACTTGCATTGACTTTCTCCAGTCGACCAGCGATGTCTACCCAAACGAAGGATAAGTTACCGGAGTTGGCCTCCTCTATGTGCATTTACAAATTCAGCTGCTCCTGTGGAGGTAGCTATATCGCGCGTACTTCCAGGCAACTGACACAACGAATGAGTGAACATCCCCCAGCATGGTTTACAAATGGTCAGTCAAAATCAATACGCAGTTCTATCTTAGCACACCTGGTAGATAGTGGAAAGATCTTAACTGCGCTGCAAAACAGATACTCACCTGAAACCTTCGAGGGTAACGAAAAAGAAAAAGGTCAAGGAACACATTAGCCAAGAAATTGCTATAGCTAAAAAAAGGCTGGGGACAGAGAAGTTTACAGAGTGCTGGTAAGCGGCTGTTGTTCTGTTGGCAGTATTAGGCGTAAGTAAGTAAGTAGATAATTTTAAATGCAAATCTGATCAAAAAACAAAAATCAGCAACACAATCTAATAAAAAACTGTGGAGATATTTTTACAATATCCTTTCACCTGCATTAGTCGTTAATGTTGCTTTCCTTGTTATATCTTTGATTTTGGTCATCAGACACAATTTCTTCCATTCTTCGGATTCTAGGCACTTTGATGTGCAGCGCATTGTTCTTTATTTCCGTATTCTTAAATTCGAGGACGATTTAACTACAATTCATTTTAGAGTCACCAAGCTGCATGAGTTAGATCTACTCACCTTGTCTTTATCTACTAAACATCGCTGTGGTAATGTATCAAGTGTCCTAGTAGCGATGTTTTTACATTTTTACATTTTTCGAAATCTGGTCTACATCTAAGAATCATTAAGCTTCCCTCTTTATTTAGGTCACAGCATTCGCCAAGCATCTTCTGGTCGATACATTATTACAATATATACTTGCTAACCTGTTCCATTGTATATAAACTATGCAATTGGATGTTTGTGAACAGCGTTTTGTGAAACCTGTTGAATAACAAGTACCACACAAGATCTCTGTTGGATACGTACGCTGTTGGTAATCATTCGTTGGAAGTCTCATTGTTTATTGCTAATGATGCCTGTAAAATGGAGTGGACCTCTGTGCCAAGAATAAAATATAATTATTATAAATCTAGTTGAGCAGCTTACTACAGTAAATGTGGTAGCATGTGTAACAATTTAATTCTGCCTATAAACCAGAATTCATCGTGTATCATTATTATTTGAGAGTAAATGAATAACTATTGGTTTTGTAGTGTGTCAATTTACTGCGTTTTATAAGCTCGGTAATTAACTCGTTCAGACAATCCTTGCCAAATAGCGTCTGATGGTTTATAAATCAGAAGATGAATTCGTAATGATGAATACGCTTATTCGGGACACACCACAAAGCGAAGCGGTGAAGCAGTGAATAAAACGAATGAAGCGACGTGAACTGGAGAAGGCTTTTGAGCCAACTCCCAGGATTACAATGCGAACGAATGGGCAAAGGACGCGATGTGGAGAAGGCTAATGAGCCAACTCAAAGAGATAGAGCATGATTAAGAATATATAGTCAAAATAAAATAAGACAGACATATGACAAGCGAAATAGGTATGCACAGACATGAATAAAAGCGACGAATGATTGACAAGGTCTAAAGCAAGCGATACAAATCATGTGAGTTCATGGGGATATTAAGAGATAACACATTAAAGCGAAAAGGATGAGTCAGCGCGTAGGCGTAAGCAATGCTCAGTCGTACAAGCTCATACAAACCAGACAATAAAAAATACCAATATTACATATGAGTTGTTGCTATACAAATAGCTTGGTTACATAAGTTAATCGAAAGGCGTAATCAAATTAAATATGAGCGAACTCAAGTTTATATGGACGCACTACAGTTTTACCGGACTTCCCGTCATGCCTGCACACAAGTTCACCGTTAGGTACGCCGCGCAACGCATCTCTTCTCATCAACTAGCAATCATAGTTCGCTCACTCTTCGAAATCCCACTCAACATTCAAATATATACCTTCGGTTCTCCTAACTCCTGACTTCTGGTTAGACTTGGCTTTGAGTATTCTTGATCGGAAAGGTGTTACGGAAAGGCTCTGAACATCCGTGACGACTTACAGGAAACTAATATGAAAAACCACTCTGTATCACTCCACAAACATAATAATAATTATTAACTCATCTTTCCAAGACTGAAGTTAAAAACGAATCTACCTATAATTCAATCAATAACAGATATTGGATATTGGAGATTGGATTTCGAAAGAAACACGACTTATCAAAATGATGCGCTACTCAGCCTGTAATGTAATTTTGCTTATTGATAACTTTTTGCTCGATTGTCAGTCGTTTCAGCCATATATTACAAGAAACCTTGACTATATCGTTCTTAATTTGCATCGTGTGTCCTAAAGTCAAAGGATTTAATTGAATACTAGCACTAGTAGTAACATATAGTCACTGTGTGATGAACAGTGTTAGTCAGATAAGTCTGCTCATCATTTAAGTAAGTTATCCTACGATTTCGACTTAAATTCAGGGTAAAACATAACGAGGTCTCAGCTTATGTCTATTTTGTAGTATGGACAAGCTGTTGGCCACCTCAAAGCATGAAATAGTCGTTTGTTTTCCTATTGGTTGAAAACCTGAACTTTTTGCAACCAGGATTCCCCTATTTTATCGATTTCCATCTCCAGATAAACCTTGAACGTGCACGTCGGCTGACATGCACGCGGAAGGTTTCATTAGGTTAGTTTTTAAATCTATTCATGCCTCCCCTCAGACCTTACATGATAAATCCAGGCGTTTCAGAACTGTTCATGGCTTTTCCCATTGGTTGACTGCACACTGACAGATGGCTTCTTTTCATCTCGGAGATGAGGACAGATGTAGACTAGTTGGGAGATGCTTCATTCTAATGTAAACTTCTGCGTACTTCGTGCTAAACCACATTTTGTGTAACGGTCAGTCATATTATATATATTTGGGTAGGCAAAACAGTCAGTCAGTCAGTTAAAACGTATAACTTCGTACATACACACATAAGTTCATGTCGCCATACCATATTAGCACAGAGATGCAATTGTCAGTTCAAATCCCATAGTAGTGGAGATAGTAGAAGTATAAGTGGTAATGGTTTCATAGTTTAAACTCAGTGATCAAAATCCGGGTGTAATAATCAGCGACACTCAACAAAAAAGTATAGATAGAAGGAGATAAGACTTGGGGTTCTGGTTTTTGCTGAATAAGTTACTTTTTACTGTTTTCTATACACTCAAAGTGGACAAATTAGTCAGCTAGTAGTTAGTCATTTCTGTGAACTGTGCTTTATAATCACATACTTACTGAGAGTAAGCTTTCTTACTCATGTGTACCGTCATTATAATGGTTTAATCTTTAGACTTAAATAGACTAATTCACGAAGTATTTGGTTATAATCCACATTGTTATTGTGAAGACTAATGATACTACCTGGTTGCCCGAACTGAACTAGGTGGAGCAGCTATCGAATTGAAAACTATTTGTAAGAGTCAGACCTGTGACCAGTTTGATCTTTAGTCCAGAAGGTACACAAATGACGCTTTGGATAAGTTTATTATCTGAAGATGTTACGAACAATACCCTGAATCTAACCGCTAAATGTATGTTGAACTTCAAATTTCCAATAATATAGTTTCATAAGTATAATGCTTGGATAAGTTATTTGGGTCACTGTCCAGGGAGATAAAGCAAGTAAGCGTAATACTATTTCATTTAACAAATAAAATTTCACAATATCAATACATCGTTTAGATATCTACAAAAGACCGCCAATGATAACACTATAGATTCCTCATATAACTCCACGTTCAATTTACAACTTTTCAACCGAAATAGTAGAATAAAGCAAAGTTGAACTAATACTGAAAACTGGTGGATAAAATGGACTCAAGGATTTGTAGTAAATCAATAGCTTGTATGCTTGCAACTGAATATTAGGTTATTTTGTGAATTAGATATATGTACGCGGACCATCGAGATATAAGGTTATTAACATTGTTGTTGCTATATTTGGGCAATATGAAATATATCTCTTAGCTAACGACATTGGACTGAAAAATTATTGATATTAAGACTGGACAAGTGTTCGCTCTTACTTTAGTTACTATATATTTTATTTCCAAATAAAATTAAATCAAATAATTCAATCTATTTATTCAGATAAAGTGTTTGCGGATACCGAAATTGTCACAATTTTTGTCAACAAGTCATACAGATAAACCGAAAGTCTATAGTTTTACTTCAAGACTACAATCATTGGCAGATAAAAGGTAATGAAATAAATTTTTGCATAGATTTATTATCTTATCACTTTTCTTTTACTTTCAATTTGTATCATAGCAAAAATCTTTTACTTAATCGTGATCCTTATTCTCCTCCAAACGATGTTGAATCACGCATTAAAGCTTTAAGTGAAAAATTGTTCAATTTGAATTCATCAGACAATAATCAATGGAAGGCATATCGTTTTCAGAATAATGATGAAAAGTACAAAGTAAATTTAATAATGAATGTTTATATATGTATGTTAAATTGTTTAAAATTTCTTGTCGAATTGAATTGCCATCCTGTTATTATCAGTCATATGCAACGTACAACTTTGTACGTAAGTACATCAGTTCATGTTGCCATACAACATTAGCACAGAGATGTAATTGTCAATTCAAATCCAATAGTAGTAGATGTAGTAGTATGTGTGTATATTAATAGTTAGCTTGACGTTTGTTTCATTTTCTCCACTTATTATTACCTAAGTGACATTGTGTAATTATTCATCATACTGTTTATTTGAATATAATTAACGGTACAACTAGGCAGCTAAATAGTTATGCGTCACACAAATCAATGAATCTATGTGTACTGGAGTACTGTCGGAGTTCTCAAACTGAGACGGGCACTATTCTGAGGAGGTCACTCCCAGAGCGTTTGACCTACGGGTCTGATCTACCAGGTTGTGAAGCAACGACATAAAATGTAATTCCATGACGAACGGTGACCAGTAATAGGTTGATTTAGGTTCATGTAGCACATGCACACCATTGGTATGGGATGAGGGTTTTCCAATTTCCGTTGGTGGATTCTCCGTACCCACCAACCTAGTGCAAGTCATGGTTAGCCTTTCGCTTGAACGTGAAGAAGAACGTATCTATATGATTTTGGTTAATTTTTTAAGCAAAATATCACTTCGTGTCTCTAGTCATCAGTCACAGTTGTCACGTAGATATCTCGAAATGAATCAGTCTGTACATTTTTATTAAAAAAATCATTCATTTAAACTGATCAATTTAAAATCTAATAAGAGGAGAATATATTCAAATAGATGTATTTTATTAACTGTGTGTGTGCTTACTTGTCCTTTGTTTATTTTGAACTTAAACTAAAACACAACACAACACAACACAATCAAACAGATGTTTACTGCATGTATCACAGAGTTCAAACATCATATCGCCAATAATTATCTTCATGAGATTCATACTATGGAAGATTTAATCAATTATTTTATGACACCGGTTGAAACACCAGATTTTCTGTATAAATTAACAACAGATTCACAAAATAATAATAATAATAATTGTAAATTACCATCGAATTTAAATATACAATTGGAACCTGTACGTTATAATCCGAATGAAGATCATTTTTTCCAAGCTAATGCTTATCCTGGTCGATCAACCATTGTAAGTAATTTGGCTGCAGCTAGAAAACATCCAAGTTATCGTGTTAGTCGTGCAAAACGTGTTCGAGTGGAATATGAAGATATGTAGTGAATAATTGTTTTTGTGTGTACCAATGTAAATTTGTATACGTGTTTTCTGTTGTTTCAATTAAAAATATACTTTATTAATTTGTGAACTAAATATTTCGTTTTGTTTTATTCTCGATGTGTTTATTGTAGTTAGAAGTTTGTGGCAGTGAGGTATAGTTACAATTTTGTGTTGAGAATGATTGCAGACCGAATACTAATGTAGTGTGAAGTTGAGAGCATTTGCTGTTTTTGATGCTTGAAACGTAGTTTTATACCTGTTATCGACTATTCGGTCTACTTGTCACTGGTTCTTCACTGTTGACATCATCAGCCGGTTTCTTGTCTCAATCATCACATTGATGTGATTGTCATTAATAATGTTGTTATAATTTGAACACATACTCGACCGTAACTACTCGATTGATGTGATGATGGGGCTTGCCTATCGTGTTGACCGTGTTGGAGTATATGTTCGTATCCGGACATTGTGCCAAATAAGAGAGAAAGCTTTCCCAGCAAGGATTCTAGAATCTCGTGCCAACGATGTATGCTGCGTCTCCAAACACGCATCTGACCTGACCTTGTTAAGATATAGAACTATCGCAATTTAGGTGCTCCATTTTTTAATGTGGTTGAAAAATCTATCAGCGGTCTCAGGCGAGGCAGAGTAGCAGACCGCGATATGTTAAGCCTTGAGATTCCTAATGATGGTTGTTCAGTTTTTAGCATTTAGTTTGATTTAGATCTTATGTAGAATCTAGGACGTAATCTAGGGCGTAATCTCATTCAACTGGTCTCAATCACTGATTGTCCGAATTTATAAGAAAGGACAAAAGTCCTCTTGTGACAATTACAGAGTAATCGGTTTGACAAGGGATATGTCTAAGTTATTAGCTTCAGTTATACTTCAACGACCATTTAGAGCTTGTAGAGAGTAGGCGAGTGAAAACTATGCCGATTTCAGACCTGGATGTGTATATATATATACCAGATATATTTACTTTATCTGGTTCTAGAACATTGACACATCCAGAAGTCCGACAATAGTTGTAATTCCTCGACCTTAATGCGGCGTTCGACTGTGACGATGGTGAGGTACTGTGCGAGTGTCTGTCATTAAAAGGTGTCCCGACCGAAGCTGCTACCTTGACGTGGTGGTCGGGCTTGCCTATCGTGATGACCCAACCGAGCTATACTGGCTGGAACATATGTTCCTGCAGGTCCTACCATGCCAGGCTGGTCGATTGGAGAACGATGAGACTAAAAGCAGCTACCCAAGGTCTGAGGGCGAAGTCGTACTGCTGACTGCAGAGGGGTGTGACAGCAGTAAGGTGTTTCCCTCGGACAACTAGCATCTGCAGCGATGCTGCCTTCTCACATGGAAGGAAGGGTTAGAAAAGGTCGGCCCTAAAAATGTCACACCTCCCCTAACTCACGGATTTCCGTCTCCGTTGGTAAGGGCTGCCCACTAAGGGCCTTTAAGAACGGAGCTAATCCTCTACATACCTTTCATAAAAAGGCCGTGCGTGACCGGCCTCAAGCAGTTGTCCCTTGGGCTCTGTGGTCACGCACCAACACTAATCTATCTTCCTTTTCAGGTTCCTCAACAAACAACCTTCCACGGTGTGGGCAGCCGGGAAGTGACAACCGCCCTCATACCCATAACAGCACGCGAGACAAAATTGGTCAAAATCAAATCCTTCCTAAACCCCCTAGTACCTCTCTTATCTCCACGACTAACTCTTCTCACATTCATTCATCACAATGCACAGCTAATGCAGACGAGACGAGTTCGCGAAACGTCGTTCCTGGTCTCCTTAAACCTCGCTCTAGACTACATGTTGGAGCATTTAATGTACGGACATTGTGTCAAATAGGGCAACAGGCTTCCTTAGCTAGGACTTTAGAAACTCGTGCCATCGATGTATGCTGCGTCTCGGAAACGCGTTTACAGGATCCTAGTAAAGTCATTAACCTGATTCCACCTTGTCAAAACGAAGAAGCAGCCTGATTCACTCTTCGTGTATCTGGAAGCCCTGATGCTGCTTCCAGGGGTCTTGTTGGCGTAGGCATAGCGTTGAGTCGTAGGGCAGAATTATCTCTCCTAGACTGGATCCCAGTAGATAGTCGTTTGTGCGCTGTCCGACTAAACGGGACAGTAAGGACTCGGAAGGATAGGGACACTCGCCGTTGCCTCTTCGTCATATCTGCCTATGCCCCCACTGACTGCAGTTCAGACGAGGTTAAAGATGAGTTTTACAGAAAGCTTTCGGACCTTCTCCAAAAAGCTAGGTGCTCTGATATAGTAATAATGGCTGGTGACTTTAATGCTCAAGTAGGTAGACTAGGTGAAAAGGAAAGACATCTTTGTGGATGTTATGGTGTAGCGACTGAGAGAACAGACAATGGTGACCGTCTGTTGCAACTATGCTCAGATAACCGCCTATTCTTAGCGAACACCAACTTTAGGCATAAGGAAAAGCATCTGTTGACCTGGCGACCGCCGAAGTCGTCTCAACGTTGGACTCAACTAGATCACATCGCCATCAGCCACCGATGGAGGGGTTCGATAGAAGACTGTCGCTCGTATCTGTTTAAGGCTTACTGGACGTAGGAAAGACACCGTAAAGAAGCCTCTTAGGGTTTTACTTAATGATAATCAAACCAAGAAAATATTTCAGGAGCAACTAGAAAGAGAGTTAAGCAACCATGCAAGCGATTCCCATCCAGAAGCAGGTTGGTATGATATCAAAAAGGCTGTGGAAACAGCAGTGATATCTGCTAGTAAGGTAAACCATGAGGCTAGGATGAAGCCGTGGATTTCAGTCGCATCCACCGCACTGATGGATGCTCGAAAACGCATCCCACCTGACTCTGAGCATGATGAAGAGCGTAGTCAGCTTAGGCGCAGACTTATAAAAAGTCTGCGTAACGACCGCGAACAGTGGTGGGTGGCGAAAGCAAAAGCGATGGAAAAGGCAGCGGCGATAGGCAACACTAGACAACTTTTCCGCCTTATTAAAGAAACTGGTATTAAGGACCCGAATGTGAGTGAGACTATCTCGGAAAAGGATGGGATTATTATCCATTCTCAATCCAGGAGACTGGATCGATGGGCAGAACACTTTAGGGATCAGTTCAACTGGCCACGAGCCACTCTTCAGTTACCCACGATCTCCAGTCATCCTGAATGGCAAATCGACGTAAGTCCCCCTAGTCTTAATGACGTTAAGAAAGCGTTAGGAAATCTGAAACGAGGACGAACTGCAGGTCCTGATAGACTGAACCCTGAGATATTTAAGGATGGTGGTCCAGTTTTAGCAGCTAGGTTGACTGAGATCTTAGGTAGGATCTGGGAACTGGACGCAATCCCATCCGACTGGTCTCAATCCTTGATTGTCCCAATCTATAAGAAAGGACAGAAGTCTTCTTGTGACAATCACAGGGGAATAAGTCTAACTAATATAGTATCTAAAATACTGGCCTCAATAATACTTCGACGCTTAACGAAAGCTCGTGAAGAGCAGACTCGAGAAAACCAGTCTGGTTTTCGACCTGGACGTGGCTGTATAGACCACATTTTCACACTACGACAGGTCCTGGAACATAGACATACATTTAGGCGTCCTACAATAGTTGTTTTCCTAGACCTTAAGGCGGCATTTGACTCTGTTGATCGTAAGGTTCTGTGGCAGTGTCTGTCATTGAAAGGTGTACCAAAGAAGTACATTAACCTTATACAAGCTCTTTACTCGAACACCACTGGTCGAGTGAGGGCTTATGGCGAACTGTCACCGGAATTCTCTACATCAAGTGGTGTCCGTCAGGGATGTCCACTTTCTCCATTCTTGTTTAATTTTATCATAGACATGCTCCTAGACATAACATTATCCTCGTCTGAATTTTTACGAGTAGACCTTCTACCAGGTGGCTCGCTTATTGACTTAGAATATGCCGATGACATTGTCCTACTTGGTGAAGACGCTTACAAAATGCAGAGTCTTCTGACTACCCTAAGCAACAATGCAAGCATGTTCGGGATGCGGTTTTCCCCCTCGAAATGCAAAATGTTGCTTCAAGATTGGGTTGTATCGGCACCTGAACTAGTGATAGGGAGTGAAGTAGTCGAACGTGTAGACCGCTTCACTTCACCAGTTGAGGTGGTTGGGACATGTGTTGCTTATGCCCAACCACCGACTGCCTCGTCGAGCTTTGTTTTGTAGTGTAGGAATAGGTTGGAAGAAAGCTAGGGGCGGCCAAACCAAAACATGGCAGAAATCCATGAAGTCATTGACGAGTGGACTTAGCCATGTCGGTAATTGTCGACTACCTGGTTGGGGTCCGCGAGATGATAATAATCGATGGTTAGAGACCCTGAATGACATGGCTCAAAATCGTTCGCAATGGCGCCGGTGCATTTATTCTTTGTGTTCTCTCAAATGCTAATCTTCTGGATTCTTCAACCCCTCTAGTTTCGACTCTTTAAACTTTTCTCACTGTATCATACTTCTGGAGTAGTACCTTCTAATCCTAACCTCTCCGATTACTTCTAATTCCCTTACTACCTCTTCTACTATTGGATTTGAATTGACGATTACTTCTCTGTGCTGATGTGGTATGGCAACATGAACTGATGTACTTATGTACAAAGTTTTACGTTGCATCTGACTGACATTAAAAGGTATACCGAAGAATTACATTAACCAAATACAGGCTCTGTACTTGAGCACTACTGGGTGAGTGAGAGTTCATGGAGAACTGTTATCGGAATTGATTACTTAAAGTGGATGGCGTCAGTGTTGTCGGCTTTCTCCATTCTTATTTAACTTTATCATTGACGCACTTCTAGAACGGACAATTTCATCATCTGACTTTTCAAGAGTTGACCTTAACCAATAGATTGACTTGTTGGCTTAGAATATGCATATGGCACAGTTGTGTTTGGTGAAGATGCTGACAAAATACAGAGTCTTATGACCACGTTAAGCAACAATGCAAGCTTTTTCGAGATATGACTCTCCTCACTGGAAATGC